ACAACCCCGCACAGCCGCGCGCGCGCTCCGCTCGAAACCGGAACGATATCTCGATCCCGCGTTCGATTATTCCGATCTCTCGCTGATCGCACTGACACGCGTGCCGCGGTGATTAAAAGCAACACAGTCATAATTATTGACCGGGCTGCCCCCTACCCGGCGGCCTTGTGAATCACCTATCAAACGTCCCAGGAATGTGACGTGGAAAAAAAAGAAAAGACGAATAAAAGAAACAGATCGGCGCCGCGGACGTCTGAGGCCGCAGAGCGACGCGACAGCTGCTGGCGAGGGAATGCCCACCGTTTGGGCCGCGAATGAACTCGTCGCGAACAAAAGGCGGCGCCTTCTTTTCGAAGGTTCCCGCGCTTTGTCTACACTGTCTGCACCGCGCCGTCGCCGGAAACGATGCAAGTGAGGCACCTCGCTGCTTGCTCTTTCTAGTGGTCGTGACCCGAATCCCGCGCGGACTGTCTGCCAGCCTCGTCTGGGGCGTCAAAGTGCTCCGGCGTCGTCGCCGCGGTGACACGCAGTGCCTCGCAGTGACTGTGCCACTGTACGTGCTGGCGGAGCGGAGCAGCCACGCTGGGAGGCGGCAAAAGCTCGATTCAAATAAATGTGTAAATACATGCTTCGCTGTGTGTGTGTGACTGTGTGTGAGTGCGTGGAAATGCATTGCTTCCTGATTGCCCGCTGCAGCGCCACACACATTCACAAGGATCCCAGAGCGTTCCGCTCGAATTCGTTCCACTCATCCTCTGCATCTGTGTGTGTGTGTGTGTGTGTGTGTGTGGCGTCCCCGTGTGCGGCGGGCTGGGCGTGAGTGAGTGAGGACCTTGATCTACAACTAATCGGATGGTTTTAGGAGGCGGCAGGGGCTTCAGAAGAAGGCAGCTGCCTGCTGCGTGTGGCTTGAGCCCCTCCAGCCTTATCATTATAGCACCACTGGAAAAAGACCCTGTCGGAGAAAGAAGACCCTGTCTTCCTGTTTTCCTCTTTAAAATCACCAAGACTGCTGCCGTTCCACTGGTGCGCTATGGCCTTCTGGGCGGACACCCCGCAGTTTTCCAACACGGTGCGTCGACAAAGCGGTGGCGCGATATGATCGTACCAGGCCGGGCCCTTGTAGGCCCGTAGCGTCCTGAAACATGTAAGTGCTCATGCAGCGGGTGTAAATTGAGCCTCATTGAATACGGGCGCTGTCCCCTGCACTGCTAATACAGCTGCGAGCAGCCTGCAGCTTGCGCCAGCCGCGGTCACGAGCGCCCGCCATGGGCAAGCCATAGGCCGCCATGGGCCCCGACGCCGCGTGCCCTGGGTGCAGATACGGATCGGGGTGGGGGTGGGGTGCCTCACTTTATAGAGATCTCTTTATTACAAGATTTAGGGCCGACTTGCCGGGCTTCGGACACCGAACAACACCGCCCCCGTCGAAATGGCAGCGTTTTTAATTAGTTTTATGGCTTTCTGCGGCGACGGCCCGGCTTGCCTAATGTGGTACAGTTTCCAGCGCCGGTACCCGACCTGCCAGAAGGTCAACCCCCTGCGGACATGGTAAAAAATCAATCAACAAAATAATAGTTCCATTTTTGTTATGTCAATGTCTAAGTTTGAAAGCTTTGGAACTATTTTGTTGTGCTGGCGACCCTACACTCATTGGTTGGTCGCCCTCCGTCCTTTCAAATCGGCTCGGACTTGTCACAGCTCGGCGTGGGCGTCCGATCGCCGGACGCGTAAAATAAACTCCCCGGCTTTTACTAACGAGGCTGACGGCGTGGGTCCGCGCCACCTTCGCACGTCACAATTCACACGAATCGGATATAAAAGCTAAGAGACCCACCACGAAAAAAAATTGACCCCAATCGTATCTCATTCATTATTCCTGTTTTCACTTTTGCGAGGCGTGATTGGGCGGATGTGAGTGCGCAGGCCGGCAGGGACAAGGCGGTGATTATTATGTGTGAAGCTCACCGCTGAGGGGCGTGGTGGAAGCGGTGCGTGGCAATGGCATTGCAGCCAGTCGGCCTGCCAAATCCGGCCATCTGCACGCGATCTCGCTCGTGCCGCGCTCGGCTGGCTCGGCTGGCGCTCGGCCCGTCACAGAGGCACTCATCCAGGGCCTGCAGACCCTGCTGCAGCAGGCACGGCCTGGACCTTGGCCCGGCGCGCACCTTTGCCAAGCGGACGCATTAGTCATTTTGTCAACGGAGCATGTGTCACGGCAATGCCATTTAAGTACACGCGGAAAAATTCCCCGACGGTTGCGATTTGGGGCTCTGCCAGTGTTTCCTTCGTTCGAGAAAGTTATCGCATCCCCTTACACTTGCCGCTTTTCTCTGTTTGGTGCTGGAAAACGCTGACAAGGAATTAATTCTTTTTGAGAAACAAGGCTCGTGTTTTGACGAGCAACACGCCCGGGGCATGCGGGACGGGTGGAGCCTACGGGTGGGACCCAGTGACCCAGACACGTATCATTACCGACTGCGCCTGTGTGAGTGGATCACTCACACAGACTACACATGGGTGTGGGTACCCGGTGGGTACCGGGTATCTGCTTCAGTGGGGACCTTGATATTACTCTATTGGTACCTCCTGGTGGCACCTGACACACAATACCAGCGCAGTCGACCGCGCTGAAAAAAAGTAATATTACAAGCCACAAAGAAACCATACTTCAAAGGTGCTGCAATAACAGTAAGGAAGTACACTGCTAGACTACGTCACGGCGCCTAGCTGCAAAAAGACACGCGCGCATGTCCGTGTGCGTGTGTGTGGACTTGAAACACGTTGAAAGGGAAAGTCAAGTGTTCCTGAATAGCCGGCCGCGCTGTTGTTGACCTCAGCGGACCACTCACGCAGTCAGGGTTATAATGAGTCATCGTGCAAACTGGGCGCCATCAGGCCTTTTCGGCGGTAAGTGCAGCACGTAGAGAACAGTACGCCGATCGCCAACGTCGTGACCCTGCTGCCAAAGTCAACAACAACCAGGAGAGCGGCAAAAAACAGTGTTTTATTCTGTTAGACGCAGTTGCCGCTAAAAAAAAATAATCTCGAAAAATCAATTTTCTTTTTTCATTAGAGGACCGTCGTGTTGAGTCTCTTTCCGGCGCCGTACCCCGATTAACGCGTGTGGCTGGCGCGGCCCGCGCATGATCGAGTACACGCAGTAGCGACAGGCGAGGCGTTGCAGGCGTTCCCGGCTCTGACGTTTCAATCAGTGCGAATAGCTGTGAACCGCCAGGCGGCACCTCCAGCAGCCTCCAGCCGTGCCTCCAGCCGTGCCTCCAGCCGTGCCTCCAGCAGGCTCGGCTTGGCACTGTCGTCGTCGTTTCCTCCTGGGGATGTGCCGTGCTCCGCGCGTATTGGAAACCTGAAACCTTCACACTGTTAAATTCAACACATTTTTGGAATTATTTTTTTGAAAACCGATTTTTGCAGGTGGGTTGTGAAAGTTCGTACCGAGAGCAGTAGTCCCTCTTTTTGATCCGCACAGCCCAAACAGCACTTTAAATACGTTCTCTAACGATCCCACCGGAGGGCAACTGTAGACCACTGGAAAAAAGGGGATCCAGGCGGCTCACCACCGTAAGCAAACTTTTTTTTCGTCCCGAGGCGGTCAACCCTGGAAATAGCCCGGAGGAAGTAGTGCTGGCCCTGCAATTAAGAAACGATCAATCGGACTTACTCTTGTCTCGCGTGGTCGCGGCCGGTCGCGGCCGTTGCCTGCTAGTGCTTGTCCGGCCAGTGCGGAAGGAAGGACCCCCCAGCTGCTGGCGTGTCGCGGCCGGCGCTGGCCTTGACTAGCGCCGTACCCTTGGAGGGCACCGCACGCCAAGCCAACGGCACCCACGACAACACCGTCAACAACAAGTCGTTCAACCTTTCTTGGCAGTGGGGACGCTCGCTCCGAGTCTCCGGCGGCGTGGAGTATCGGCACACGCCTCCAGCCCTCGCACTCTCGGGGCACGGCCTGCACGTCCAGACCTTGGATTCGTTCCTGAATCGTGGGCACTAAATTCGCCACCGCCGCTCGTCCTACTGTGGCATCAGATTGTAGCGCCGCGATAGAGGCTGGGGGAACGCGCTGGAGCGAGAGAGAGGGAGGCCTGGAGAAATAATTACCGAAGATGAGCGGAGAATCCATCATTTTAAAAAGCCGCGCCCTGTGCATGTGTGTGTGTGTGTGTGACGCAACCTGACACGGCCTTCACCGCCTCGACGGACAGCACTGGCGGTCTGCCCTCCAGGGGCTCCCCCCCCTCTCTGTCACGGATGTGTATTTTGTCCCGGTTCAACTTTCAACTCTATCTTGGCATGTCCGACTTGGCGGGCTGATTCTGAACAGCGTGCTGCCTCTCTCGCGCGCCAGAGAGACGCCCCGCGAGTGCAAGAGAGAGGAAGAGAGAGGCTGTTGGAGGTGCCGTGGGCCACACTTGTTGCGTGGCAGGCTGTCGCTAGCGAGGCGGGGCGTTGCTCCTCACGTACAGTGCAGAGTGCGTACGGCTTCGACTCCACCCCTTCGCGTTCCCAATCAGGTCCGAGCATGACGCGGTGAAAGCCCTGTTTGTTAATAACGACAGGCAAGTGTCTCTCGAAAAACAAAAGTCAGAAACAACAACAAGTCTCGCAATGGATTGACTGTTTTACAGCGAGCCATTGTTGTGTGAGCCCCAAAGCAGGAAATGTACATAATAGGAGAGCAACGACGAGGCAAAAGTGGACTGGGAGGGGGGAAATTGAATTATGTTTTAGTTGTAGCGGACTGGATTATCTCATTCATCTCGGGGCACACGGTCGTATAGTATCCAGGAAAGCTTGCAACAGGTGTGCCCCGTATCACATTCCACGAATACACGTCACAGAGTATTGCCCAAGTGCCGCGGTCTGGGACACGACAGTTTCAGACTCAAAGGGCGTTTTTTTTCGTCGTGTGCTCCCTTTTTTTTGTGGGGTGCATTTAAAACCGCAACAGGGAGCTGATGTTGTTGTTTGTTTGTTCACAGAGGAATGGGTCACCAAGAAGAAGACGGAGCTGACGACGACGAAGCAGATCGAGACGCGGGTGAAGCGCCATGTCGTCCTGGAGGACGGCAAGGTGGTGGACGACTCGGGCCCCATCGTCACCACCAACACCACGGAGGACACGGAGAAGCAGGAGCACCAGCACACCGAGGTAGATAGCAGTGTTCATTGCCTACCCAAACAAAGAGCCACTTGATTACCTTATCAGCAGTGCCCCGGCTCCGCGGTTCGTCTGTGTGTGCGTGCGTCGGTGTGCCTGTGTGTGTGTTGCATCACTGGAGCCTTATGCTACTCCAGCCTTATGTAAATGGCCCCCGATCATGATGGCACAGAAACGCAAAACGAAACGGCCTGGTCAAGTCCTGTGCGTTATGGGAGGCCCCGGGCATGGCCGCGCCGCGCGGCAAGGCGCGGTGGGTGGGTCGGCGGTGCCGAGCCGAGACGAGGATCTTACTTGACGAGTTCACGGCGATCCGTGACTCGCGGCTCAGATCCACGCGCTGCGGCGCGCTGCGTGCCGGACCTCTCTCATTCTGCGAAATATCCTCATTAGAAGATTATTAAGAGAGCCGCGAGTGACGCCTCAAGGACACTCCCCGCCGATCAAACGTCGTTCAGACTTGTTTCCTAGAGGGCGCTCGCGTGAAGACAAACCGACGTTCGTGTCGTGAATTTGGTCGATGCGGCGTTGCGAACTGACCCGACTGTCCCCTTCGTCGGGCTGCGTTGCTGCAAGGCTGCGTATGGCACACCGCGATGCGTATCGATTTCATGGAACGGCTGTCAACGGGACCTCTTGACGGGCACCTGACTACCAAACACACACACACACACACGGCCAGCCTTGTGAACCAACAGTGGGATTGATTTCAGCAGTGCAACTGAACTATCCGACTCCCGAGCGCGCCCCGTCACGTCACACACACACACACACTATACCACCCGCGCACGCCGCTGCCGCTGCTTAAAGCACGACCCAATACCCCGCCAAAAAAAAACGAAAATTCGATTCGGAAAAGCGATAAATTACATGAGGCCGCCGAAACGCGGCGTGGCGGTCGGTGGGAATCGGCTCGGCTTAAAGCACTGGCGGCTATCGCGGCTCTCGCCTTGCAGCGCCTTGCAGCGCCTTGTTCGACCCGCGAAACCACAAATACTCGTTGGCAGGGGGCGGTGAAGCCCGGCCGGGGCAGGCCGGGGCAGGCCGGGCCGCGGTCTGGCCCGCCTGCAGCGCAATTACAATAACCATGTCACGGTTCACGGCCCGGGCCCGCGAGGCCCGCGAGGTGCGACACTATTAAACCAGCCGCGCCGCACAGTGGGCCAGAAGACCGGCGGAGGTTCGGTTCGAGTCCCATTTAGCGACTCGCTCAAAACGCGTCCGGGATTTAGACCGCCTCCACCGGTCTTCTGGCCCACAGTGCGCCGGATGAAAACAGAGGCAAAATTTTGTCGGTGCGAAGGGTTCTAATTTTGTGTCTTGTGTTGCAGCACCGCACGCACGGCGATGACCCGCCGTCCGGGGACGAGGGCTGGGTGGCGGTGCCGGGGCCGGGCGGCATGGTCCGCGAGGTGAAGGAGAAGAAGGTGCGCTCCAGGGAGGAGAAGGAGGAGCGGCAGGAGACGGAGGACATCCACCACCTCGGGGACATCACGGACGAGGTAAGAACACTCTCGCCCAACCTTTGGCTGGGACGCAGTACGTATATCAGATCCATGGCACACGGGCCCCGGCTCGGGCCGGCCCTCGCGACTAATGAATTGCTTTCCCATCCTGCAATGAGCGGGGCATTATGGGTGCTGATTTCGCTGGGGCTTGCCCCGCCGCGCTCTGCGTCCGCTGGCTCGCCCAGATCGGACGCCGGCGAGCGGTTTTACTGGCCGAGCCAGTGACAGCAGGAATAAGCTGGCCGAAAAAAAAGGACTGAAGCGGCGCGGCCGGGTGTTGAACCCGCGGGCCCTGTATTGATGAGGCGCTCACACGTGCGCTGCCTGCTGGTGCACTGCACGCTGGTGCACTGCACGCTGGGCCATCCTTGACCTTTGGCTCCGCGTGTTTGTTTTTGCTCTTATCATTTCCGCGATCTCACACAAGGCGCTTTGGCTGGCTGGGATCGCCTCGTCTCGCCGCCCGGCCCGACCGGTATCAATGTCCTCACAACAATTTTCCTCCGCTTCCCCCGACGCACAGTGGGCCAGAAGACCGGTGGAGGCGGCCGAAACTCTAGACGCGTTTTGAGCTTCAGACTCGCTAAGTAGGACTCGAATCGAGCTTGTGACCCCACCAATGGATTGCTCTCCGAACGAGGAATCCATTGGGGGTCACACGCTCGGTTCGAGTCCTGTGTGGCGACTCTGGAGCTCAAAACGCATCCAAAGTTTTGGCCGCCTCCACCGGTCTTCCGGCCCACTGTGCGACGCGTGTCGTCTTGATTTTGGCGCACCAGTGTGGGAGTTTGTGGCGGTGTATGTAGAGCAGAGCCCTTCGGCCCTGCGCAGTGCCCACGCCGAGCCCTGGCTGCCGCTGCCGCTACGCGCCGCCACGCCGCGTCCCGCGCCCACGTTTCGCATGCCACGATTAGTGACAGCAAAGATTTCTCATAATCCTGCTCGGCGGCCGTGTGACACCTCGGGCTGAGCCGAGTCGCCTGCCGAGTGCCGGGGCTCCGGGGGACCGGCCGGGACCGACCGGGACCGCGCGTAAGCGAGGAGGCCAGTCCGAGTGTCTCTCTCGCACCCATGTCCATGACCATTTTCATGACCATGTCCATGACCATTTCCACAACAACTCCCTGAACAATTTCATGACCATGACGATGGCGACGGCGTGGTTTTCGTCACCTCGAGTGACGCAAGCTAGATGGAGACGTGAGCTGCTCCCTCACACCCCGGTGCATTACGAGCTTCTCGGTGAAAGCAGAGCAATTACACGTTTAACTGGGCGGCGGGTGTCGCTCGTGTGTGTGTGAGTGTGCGCGGCACTGGGATGCATTATAGCAGTGCATTACACTATCGACGCTGGAAGTGCGGCCGACAGTGCGGGACACTCGGAGGGGAATCGTGGGTAGAGGAGCAAATATAATCGAAGTCGGTGCCGGCGTGGCGTAGCCAGCGTAGCCGGCGTAGCCGCTGCTAGCAGGCGTAGCTGTAGGCCATTTGCGCGCCGAGTCAACGAACCCGCGCTACGGGCAGCAACAACAAGTAAAACGACTGCAGGCACAAGAAGAGAGGAAAGTTGATTTTTCATAAACCCAATTAAAATAAGTCAGCCGTTTTCTTTTGCTTTGCTTTTTCTGTTTTCTTGAAATGTCTCAGTGTAATAATACACGCGGTATTGCGCCACCGTTTTAGCGTGGTTTTACGACGCTTCTGGAAAAGGGGTTAACTGGACTGGCTCTCCGCTACCGCCCCAGGTGCGAAGGGCAGCTAGTGCGGCCCGCGCCGCCACCCACAATGTGCACAAACGGCGCACTAAAACGGATCTCTTTTCACGTCCTGCAGTTTATCGCCCGCGGCGCCCTCGCGGAGGGAGAACTAACTTTGCGTTGGTCAGGGGAGTCCGGGGGGCAGTGGCGTGGCAGTGGCGTGGCAGTGGCGTGGCGGCGCGGGGAGGCCGGCCGGCCTGTCGGCCCGCGAGGCGGCACGGCACAGCACGGCACGCCGCGGCACTCCCAGCAGCGGCCGCCGGCTGAGAACGGGAGCAGTTGTTTTGACCGGCGGCGAAAATCTCCGCTTTTCTTCGTATGCCCACACAAATGTTTGTTTGCACTCACGCTAAGCACTCGAAACGGACATGTGACCCCACCAATGGATTGCTCTCCGAAAGGGGAATCCATTGGTGGGGTCACACGTTCAGTTCGAGTCCCACTTAGCGACTCTGGAGCTCAAAACGCGTCTAGAATTTTGGCCGCCTCCACCGGTCTTCTGGCCCACTCTGTGCCCGATGGCAGTGATTCAATCAACCGGAGTCCGCGAATCCAATCCCGTTCTTTGCTTTTGTTCTTTGCCCCTCGCTGCTTTTATTACGGACATCTCGCGGCCACACTGTGAGATGGTACGGAACCGGCCTAGGCTTTTACAGCCTTTTAAACGTCTCGTTTTGGACCGCTGCCCGGCCGGCAGGCCGACCAGCAACAACGTCGGACTTTTCATCACCTTTTCTGCCAACAAACGAGTCAATCTGTCTGCGCGAAAAAAGAAAAAGATAAAAAAAACAACGGCGCCTGTAGCGTCATGAATACGAATCAGGGACTTGACTAATTGGACGAGCAAACTCTGCCAGAATGTTCGATTTAATTTACAGTCCGATTTTCCTTTTTTTTTGACAGTGTACGTCACGCAAATGGTTCAATAGGATGAGCTCTTTCCTTTCTTGATCGCTGGTATTTTCATTACTGTTCAATAACATTTACAGTCTGCAATTTTCTCTTTTTTTTTGATTGACAGTGCGCGAATAACAATTTCCTTAGTTAACCGCTGTTTTTGTTGTTGTTTTTTTAACTCGGAGAAAGTCCTGGGTCACTTTGCCTTACTGGGGACGTCCCCTTGCAGTGGCGCTGCAGTGGCACTGCAATACAGTGATACGCACTTCCATATGCAGATTCTTTTTTTCCGTCTTTTTCTTTGTCCCCCATGGCCGGCGGGCGGTGCACACGGCGCCCCAAGTGGGCTGCAGACGGAGAGTCGTTTTCGTCGCTCTGTCTCTCTCGCACCTATATGGGAGGCCCCACGAGTGCGAGAGAGACAGAGCGACAAAAAACGACTCTCGGAATCAGCCCGCTGGCTGCACTCTAATGCCTGGTTATCGCACCCCCCGTGTTCCGCTTTAATTACCGTGATTGCCGATTGGCCATTGCTGATTTCTGATTGGTCAGGCTGCCGCCCGTCGCGCGGCCTGTGATTGGCTGCAGTGCCACACACCGCGTGTCGCCGCTTCGCCTTTGTTGCACTGCACTGTACGCGTCGTGTTGAAACTCACCCAAGTTGTGAACTTTGTAGCTCTGTTAGGCCGAGAGCCGCGGGGCCGTGAGGCCGTAAGCTTGCGAGGCTGTGCGGGGCTTTTGTTCGTCGGCCGCGGACGTCGGCGGTCAAGTCGTATAATTTATGTCCAATCACTCCGGACGGGTTGCCACTGACCCGTTCACCGCGAAACCCGAGAACCTTCGGGCACCTTCGGGCACCTTCGGCCACCTTCGGCCACCTTCGTCCCTTTATACGGCCGCGCGGAGGTCATTTAAACACTTGGACTGTTTATATCAGGGTGCCATCGGGAGGAACTTGTTGTGGTGGCTAAAGGGCATGCCCTCGGGGTACACCACAAAGAATTATTTTTTTAGAAAAAAAGGAAATCAAGAACACCTATTGAAATGGAAAAGTGACCTGTCGTGTGTCTCATGACTTTGTCAATATTTTTTTTAGGGTTTTCGGTTATTTAAGCAAGCCCTTAGTAAGGCCCTATCATTGGATGCGTCTTCAGGAATTTAGAGCCAACTCGAAAGAGCGCATTCCATACAAATAGGTCGACCCCCTCCCTCTCCCCGCGCATCGAAGGCGAGAGTTTTTGCGCTGCAGGCCCCACCAAGTACAGACTGGTTTCCGGCGGCAGGCCCGGCCGGCCCCGCACGCTCATTCCGAGAGTCGTCTCTCTCGCACCCGTGCGGGACGCCCTGCGAGTGCGAGAGAGACGAGAAACGACTCTCGGAGTGAGTCTGCCGCTCTGCCGGAGTGGCCCGGCCAGGCGGTCCTGCTTCCAGGAATTTGTTTTGGCCAAGCACGTGGCCCCCCTCGGGCTTTTCTTTCGCCCGCCCCCTTCCTCGCTCCTTCGCGTCGCACTCTGTCTCTGTCGCACTCACGGGGTCGTCCGTAAGGGTGCGAGAGACACAGAGCGACGAGCCGATCTTCCGAATCGCTCCCTTCGCGTCGTCGCGCTGTCGCGCCACCGCGCGTCGAGGTCTCCGAACCCGACGGCACTGCGGCACTGCTGCACAGTGGGCCAGAAGACCGCTGGAGGCGGCCAAAGCTCCAGGCGCGTGTTGAGCAGCAGAGCCGCTAAATGGGACTCGAACCGCACGTGTGACCCCACCAATGGATTGCTCTTCGAACGAGGAATCCATTGGTGGGGTCACACGTTCGATTCGAGGCCTATTTAGCGACTCTGGAGCTCAAAACGCGTCTCGAATTTTGGCCGCCGCCACCGGTCCTCTGGCCCACTGTGTTCTGTCCCCAAGCGATTCGCGCACCGCACTCTCTGGCCGTTCGAAACCAACACAGGCGAAACCGACCGGATAGAGCGGGGCGACGGGTACCGTTCGACAGGAAACAGAGGACGATAGCGCGCACGCGGAGAGCGCTGGGAGTGCTTCAAACACTGCAAGAGTGCATTGTAAGAACGGCCGTCTTTGCGGTCCAGCGAGTCCGGCCGAGTGCCTCGCCGAGTGTCTCGCCGAGTGTCACACTGCTGCCGATGCCCCCCTCCCTTTTCCTTACGGAGTGAATCACTCGGGCTTCCTTGGGGCTCCGCCCGGCCCGGCCCCGCCCCGACCCGCCCCGACCGACGTCCTGCCCACCATCCACACCATTAAATTGTGTCTCACTTCGACGTTTGCGAAACCGCGCGAGCAAATCTGTCTAGGAGGAAAATTTAGGTGCTGCACGAAAAAAAA